CTTTTGTCCAGATCTAAGTGTTCACTTGTCCAGATTCAAGTGTTCACTTGTCCAGATTTAAGTGTTCACTTTGGTACCAAATAAGTGTTCTTTTGTCCACATTTAAGTGTTCACTTTGCTACCCAAAACCCCATAAAGAGTTACTGTTACAGCCAGGGTCTAAATAATACGGCACCTATTATTTAGGGTACCCCAAAAGGGACAATAATTTTGACAACTACCCATATGGGAGTTTCCGAAGGTAAGGGGCACCGTATTTTGGGGTCCGTATAATAAGGATCCTACATTTAGGGTACTGCATTAGGGTCCCCCCCCCATATTCGCTGATGCCCTGGCGTGTAATTACTATAGTTCAAGCTGGGTGATTGCAGATGGTCTACCAATGGGAAAGCCTAGAGAAGTCAGCAGGGTAACATGCATACATGCATGTCAAAATCGGTTTACCGGTTCACACATCCTTTCTCTGTTTCTCTCTCTCTCTCTCTCTTTTCGCTCTCTCCCCCATATCAGACATATATGTACAGTTATGCACATGTACACATGCACTTGTATGCAAACGTTTCAGTTTATGTAGTTCTGTTTCTCTGACGATGCTCGTTGCTACCATTGAACCCCCAAGTCGGCCCTCTATGCCTCGATCCCAACGGACAACATGTAAATTTGCAGATAGACGGCGTGATGAGGCTCGCAACTCAAGTCAAGCAGAACCTGCACTCTTAAATCTTGTAAGACTCTGGACACAACGTAAGAGGTCGCCCCCCTTCTCGCGAAGGTATGGCATGGAGATATCTGGAGCTTCCGCGCGCAGAGGAGGAGCTCTGCGGGGAAGGGAAGTTGGGTTAGGAAGGATTCTTTGATTCTCTCTTCCTCCCGTTACTTTCGCATAGTATTACCAGCTGGAGGATTATCGCCACCATCAGAACGGGACGGCTACTAGCAAGTACTTACGTACTACCAGGTGCCGTCGAATCTCCGTTCGCCTGTTGAAAAATGCCATGGCTTGGTGCAGCCTAGCGGCCTAGCGCATGCTAGATCTGGGAAACGAAGATGTTCAAGAGCTGAACGCTGGCGAAGTTTGTTTCGCTTAGAAAGCCGGGTGGTCGTGGAGTTGTTCCCATGTGCGAGTCACTTGTTTCGCCGGCAATTGCTCGGAGTTTAGCCGTGTCCTTGGTGCTTGAATTTCGAAAGCCGAAGCACGTGCTTTTCCCGCAGGGGCGGCAGCATATCAAGTATCCTACTCCTGCTAGCACTCTCTGCACTAAGGCATACTTGCAAGACCCAGGACCGGCACCAAATTTGGGATTCGATTCAGCTCCTCTGGCATCGCTTCGACTCGCCACAAGGTGCGTGCACTCCATAGCAGCAGCCCGAACCGACGAAAAAAGCTTTATAGTCCCCAAACCGCAGTCTGAAACTCAAAGCTTTGCGACCTCACCCCCGCCTAAACCCCGAGTCGCGAGAGTCCAAACCCCAAACCCCACTGACACACATACGCATACTCAACTGGAGCCAATGTATGAATATGTATACGTGTATATCTAAATTGTACATACATCCGTTACATCCGTATTCTGCTTTCCACATATCTTCAATACACGATGTGCCTTTTTGCTCTGGCATGCAGGACAGTGCAAAACCTACAATAAACTAGTAACGTTCCAGGCCGAAACGGATTTCTCAATATTATAATGGGGATCTCGAGACCAAGGGGTTTGTTGATGAGGGGCGGAAGGTTCAGGGTTTACCCTATACCCCGAAGAATCGAACTTCAGGCCTCTTTAGATTAGTCTCCCAGTTGCCTTTGCAGACCCTGCCTGGGCAGTTCTGAGGCAACCCGGTGCTTCCTTACTAGGGCTTACAAATCTGCGGGCGACATGGGAGTTTCCGAAAAGAGGGGTACCTTATTCTGGGGTCCTTATAATAAGGATCCTACTATTTGGGGTGCTATATTTATTTTCGGAAACCCCTCCATGGATGGATTCCAGGGATGGCTGCTGCCAGAGCTGCTGGCGGAGATGCGGCGCGCGGCGAAGCGATTGCGGCTTGGGCATCAGTTTTTCGGGGGAAGATAGCCCACGATATGATGTCTGCTGCAGCTCGCCCCATTGACGAATTGCACGACAAGAGTTTTTTGCAGATGCAAGGGGCTAGTCTGTCGACGTCTGTCGCCCAGAGATGCCACTCACTCCTGGAATTTCCAAACCCTGACCTGGAAGAGTTTGCAGGAGCTGCGGGTACGTTTGAACACGTGCCGAATTCTCTTGCTCCAATATACCACATCACTGACACTAGACACTGACACGAGCAGCGCAGCCGAAGGAGCCTCTGGACTTGGTATTGCATGGCAGCTAGACGACAGCACAGCATGTCCAGGGAAGAGTATAGCAGCTGATGAAACAACGGTGTTTGCCCGAGCCATGAGCCAGCCGACTCGCAGACAACAAGCCGGGTCGTGCTTCTCCCCTGGCATGTCCAAGCATGAGAATTACAGCTCCAACGGTCATAAAGCTATCCTAGGCTCAAAGCATGAAGCTCTCGCATTGTCATGGGCCGAGGCGTTCTTCGACTGCTACGTGAAGCCTCTGCCCGGATGGGCGCAGCCTGCCTTGAACGCAGTCCGGCAGAGCCCTCGCTCGGCCTCCCGGCGGAGAAGACTACGTCTATCGTTGATATTGTTGGCTTCAAAAGAGGCGTTTGGGGTCAGGATGACAAAAGGGCTCTCTGCCTGCCCTGAACGATTTCGGATGCGCGCTGAGGTTGTGCTGCCGGCGCTCCGAGATCTCGAGACTCAGCTTTGCTTAACAAACCCAGACCACCCGGAGGATCTGGGAGGACATAGAAAGTAGATCTTTTAATGGGGGTTCCCATAAAGTACCCTTAGTATTAGGGGTTCGGATTCTACTTTCTAGATCGTGAGAGCAGACAGACAGTAGGTTGGTATTGCGATACCGGGCTTCGCTTCGTTCAGAGCCACTGGATGCGAAACTGCACTCTTGTGAAACACCGCTATGTTAGATAGCCCTAGCCCTAAACCTGGCTGAGCTCCGGGTACGGCTCATAGAGTGGAGAGGATATTAGCTGTTTTTGTAGTTTCAGTGGGCCGAAACTGAGGTGGTGCAGTTGTAGAGGCCCGGACCTACCATGCCTTAGCAGTGGTGCGCTAGATTCATCTTGGTCCCCCATGCCTGAAGCCAGCCCCAGATGAAGGTCGCTGTGAATTGTCTCCAAGATGACATGCTACCGACATGTGTCAAAGAAGCGCGCGGCACCGGACCGGCCCAGACAGAATCAGTCGTCGTGGAGGCTCTGCCACGAGCAGCAGGAACTAGCCTCAACCCTGAACCGCCACTTGTACCGCATGACAAAGTTCAGCAACACCTCTACTGTCAACTTCTATAATTTTATGCATAGACACACACACACACAGACACATCACGTCTTTCACGTCTTTCGGGCAACGAATCCGAGTCGGTTGCAGCCCTTTGAGCACCTAATTAAAGTGAAACAAGGAAGTCTAGGCTCACCATCCGTGCCAACTGTTCCTCAAGAAAGCGTCCCCTTGTCGCTGCCCTGTACGGAGACAACTAATCTCGAGGAGAGGCACAAGATGCTGACGGGAGGAAGGCCGGAAAACCAGGGTGGCAGGGACACCGCCGTTCCAAAGTCGGAGGGAGAGCCTGACGAGATCACCAAGGAGAGTTTCCCTGGCGAGGGCTGCATGATGACGCGACGGAGGGGAGTCAACACAAGGAGAACTGGAGAATCCACTCCAGTCTCCCAGGTGGATGACAAACGCCGTGTTCGCATAAGGGCCCTCAAAGAACGAAGGGCACACGCCTCCAGACAAGGATTCCAGGCACTCTTGGTGCGTGTAGGCGATGCAGCCGCGCAGACCGGCAGCCTGCACGTCACACCAGGGCCCAGGCCCTACAAGAACCCAAGTTGTCTCTGCATGCGGCTGTCGAGCAGCAGTGAAGGTGAGATGGGAGACCTCCAAAGTGTCAAGAACGAGATTGCCGTCTCGGAAAGTGCACGTTTCCGGCTCGACGTAATCAGGTTCCGGAACAATCCACTCAACAATGTCAGTCTGACAAACCCACTCTAAGATTTCCTGCATCACATCGGAGACTTGTGGCAAGAAGTCTCCCTGTCGGAAGTGTTCAAGCAAGACTTCCGCAGTGACACGCAGTCGAGGTGTGGAGGCACAGAC